CATTGATATATAGATGTACGTTACAAAATTCGAAATTTATTTTAAAGGCGTATGATTACTTTTGAAATTAAACAATTTCTACTGCCCTTACTGCAATGGAAAAATCAAAGGGAGGGCCTGGCTCATCAGTGGTGAACCCTCCCAGCGGTTTCGCCAGTTTAATCTACCATACCGCTGTTATATTGCATTTTTGGAACTTCATTTTATATTGATACTGTTGCTAGACTCTTGGAATGGGTATTTTAGAAGAACTATGGACATAAGCTTTGAGGACAGTAGAATTACATACATTTATAAATATATGTACGTATCTTCAATTTTGGAAGTTGACCGTTGTTACCAAGATTAAGGTTCTTTTGCATTAACTTCTCCTAGCGACAATATTTTAACGCGACAATATAAAATCCAATAAAGTCTTTTGTAGATATAGAAAGTTTAATGTATGAAAAATATCAACGTATCTTTAAGAGATTTAGGTTCGCCAGTCAATCATTCTCTTAGCAAATAGTCCAGTAGAGTAATACATACTTGGAATTTCTAATTGTACAATTATATTACAGGAATATAGTGAAAAATAGGTACCTGAATCTCTTTGGTCAAAGGATGAAGTTGTTTTATACTTGTTATTAAAGTTTAAAACACATTTAAAATTTATATATTTTATTAAATAATGATCAAAATTACATAACCATCCCAATTAATTATCTATCATAACTATATAACATTAAGCCATCTATTTACAGTTTCTTTTTTGGTCATCAGTCCAATTTTTTATTTTCATTGACTAAATTATGAGATTAATTTATAAATGAAATATTATTCAAAACAATTAAAAAATTATTTACATAAGAAGTATTAAAACAGTTTGTAGATAATTGACAATTTAAACAGCTTTATTGATTCGTCTAATCTCTCTCACTTACACAAACGTACAATGTGTGTAGTGTAGTACAGTAAGAAAATATAAAATAGAGGGTTATATATAATAAAGGGGTTAATAAAGGGTGAATGTAGGGAAATATATACAGTTGAATATGTACAAATTTCTTCATTAAGGAAGGCTTCTCTGAGAGAGTCCTCCTCCAGACAAGGTATTCTTGAACATTCCTCAGTTCTACGCCGAGGAAGTACTTATAGATGCGCATCTTTGTAGAATTTTGTTTACCATTTCTTCATTTGTTGATTAATATAAAATGTTCACAGAATAAATGTATTGTAGATGCCGGGTTTTTATAACCATGGTTTAACGATATATATATATGGAAATTTTGCCTGTAAATTGAAATTGTAAAAGCAAAATTTGACGTTTAATTTGAAAGGAGAGGCACCCTATACTTATATATATATATATTCTGAATATAGAGAAATCCATTATATTTTATTTTATCCTATTTACATAATTTTAAGTTTTAGGGTTTGTTATATTTGCATAGTTTGTTTTGAATTGTAAGACGTCCGTAGCTCCTCTGAAGCACGCGATCTGCTGTGTGCTTCATAACAAAAACCCTCGTAAAAGATGGACGATTGGTCCATTGAAATATTGAATTAATAAAAAATCATATTGAAATCCAAAATGAGCCTTTTTTTAAAATATATTTCGCGATAGAATGTGTATATATGATATCACCATCAAATCGTGTGTTTACACCAGTATTAATTGTGAGCTAAATCCCACAATTCCATCTTAATCTTTGTGTAAAAGACAAATACAACTGGTTTTGTTTTATTCCCCCTTTCCCAAACACATTCTAACTCAATTCTTTCTATCTTAAAATCTTTCTAAATTATTATTTTATATATAATCTTTTATATACATATATATAATAATAATTATATATAAACTAATTTAGTCTATATATAATAACAGAGAAACCCATGAAACAAAGCACAATTCTTTTAATCAGAAATGGGTTACAACAAAAGTTGAGCTAACACAATCTCTCTAAAAATAAATTTTAATTAAAACTATTTATACTCTTTAAAAGGTCATATTTTTATATGACAATATTTCTTAGTATATTTATAAATACGCTATTATGAGAGCGGGTATATTTAGATTGTTAAGATTTATTTTACTTATCCCATATACACACAGTATACAGGTTTTGATAAGTATGGTAGGTAATTATTGTGAGATTATTTTACACTAAGTACATCACATTACTTCTTATCTAGAAAACAGAGTAATTTTCAAACTTGCTAGATAACAGAGCTCAGTTTAGTTAAGGGCATTCTACATCTAGAAATCAGAGTAACTTACTAAATAACAGATTTTTGTTTGAATATTCGTATTCAATTTTGGATAGAATTGATGGTAAATTAGAAGTCATTAGGGAAAGAAGAAGTTCCTAATGCGGGATTTTATCCCGGGTTATGATTCCTTAAAATCTACGGTGTCTATCACTCATCTATCAACCCCATCTGACGAACAATAAACACGTGAAACCGCTAGGAAGGCTCAACAATGATGAGCCAAAATCTCCCAATATTTTTCTTATCGCAAGAAATGCAATAGTAATATCATTTATTTTAATTAAAAATAGCGTTAATATCTTATATTTAGAGGTTGGATTGCCGTTAATTACAAAAATAAGCGTCGTTATGCAAAATTTATTGTTTAAAATGATAGAATTCACCAAGAAATTCTTATCGTGAAGATAGAGGATGCCTGGCCGGCATTCATATTTCTTGAAAAAAGATACTTCGGCCAGTATAAATCTTTTTATAAAAAGATTCATACTGGCTGAAGTATCTTTTTTCAAGAAATTCTTGTTAAAGGACTGGTGATTCATACATTAGGTTTAAAATTAGTTTACATAATTCACACACATTTTGAATTATTCTTTGAAAAATACAAATCTATTTAACCAATTTCATTTTCTAAATATTAAATAAGGGTAGGTATAAATATAAGCACTCTCTATATAAAGTTGTCCTTTTTCCAAGTAAATGTGAAATTTTCACATACAAGTTACCACTGAGCCATGCTCGGAATCCGCACTCAATGGTATGGCTAGGACTTTGCAAGAATCGGAAACCATTGAAAATAATTTTCCTTTTTAAAAATTGACCAAAACGGGATTCAATCCCGGGTCATAACTGTTCAAAATTCAGCGGTGCGAACGAATTTTTCACCAACTTCCATATAATGTTTTGAATTCATATTGGTCGCTACCTAGCTGGGCAATGTAATATAGCCAGAAGTCCTTGTTGTACCCTAAACACTGCCATTAAACATGATTACATATATTGAATGAATAGTTATTCAACTTGAAGAATAAATTGGACCGTTTTCAACAGTTATAAATTAATCATTAATAGTTCTAATCTAATCGAATAGCCATCCAACAATTCAGGTTCCATTGTTAAAGATCCGCAGGCTACTGAATCAACCTAGGAAAAATATCTACACAAAGATGCATAAAGAAGGCTTGGGGAGTAGGTGTCAGTAATGCTCACCAAATTACAGATAGATCCTGATTAGGAAGAAGTTCTTGCTGTACGTGAAAAACTACCATCACAGATGATTTCATAATGAAAGGATACAGTTTTCGGCTTGAAGAATAATTTAGGCCCCTTTTTTTAAATAGTTCAAAATAAATTTATAATAGTTCAAGTATAATTGAATCGCCATCTAGCAATGCAGAGAACCATTGTTAAAGATCTGCAGGCTATTAAACCAACCTATAAAAATATCTCCACAAAAATAGCATAAAAAGGCTTTGGAAGTAGGTGTCAGTGATGCTCACCAAATTACAGATAGAGCCTGATTAGGATTAATTCAGCGGACATCAGAATGCAAGGATATTAACACCTCTACCAGACACGTGGCTTCTTTACTTAATCTAGCTTAATTCAAGTTGGCAATCTTCTCTAAGCAAGCGCTATAAAGTATTTACAAGTATTCATTACATATTATTCTTATACAAGTTAACTGCAAGTACACTTGTATTTATATAATAACAAAACTTCTATATATGTTATAGTATAATCCTTAGATCAGATAAAACTAAAATTGACCAAGGAATAGGTTTCTTGCATGTAAGAGGTTCGTATACATATATATTAGGTATTTCATATTGTTGCTGCTTATTCCTCCCGTCGTTTAAAATAACTCTATTAGGTTCTATTTTCTCAGATTTTCTTTTATAGTCCTGGAGTTTTCCCAGAGATCCTTTTTGGAGGATTTGATACAATTTAATAGATGTTCAGGACTGGCAGGCATTTGGAGCATTTCGGGGATGTTTTGATATTTCCATTAAATTTGAGCATTCTAAGATGTCCTGTTCGTAATCTTGAAATCGCCGTTTGTTCTTCCTTCGGAGAATTTGATGATTAATTTGTATAATTTGTTGAAAAGAGGATCACCATTGATACATATACAGTCCTCCGCTCTGCCAACTGACTTATCGAGGGTCACTTGTCATGATTCTGTCTTTAGCTCTTTGCCTTATTCTGATGCTCTTCATTTCTTGATTATTTTTTATTCCGCAACTATGACACGTAATTGCCGATGCCTTTGCGTGAAGGTTGTTATATCTTCAATTTGCTATAATAAAATTTAAAATATTTTTATCACCTTAATATAATATATTCATTCTTTTCATTTTTTAAAAAATATATTCTATATTTCTCACAAAAAGTTTAAAATATAGATGATAAATCAATTCATAACATAATGGTATATGAATATTTCAAATCTTGAAGAAGAAAAACATGTCGGGGAGAAGAGATTCTTGTATAACAAAGCTTTTCTCCCCAATCTGTATATATTCTTCAATAACGAATAGTGTAATCATCGTTTTCTTAATTTTAAATGTCGACTTATATTTTTCATAAAGACTAATATAATAAACATGAAATCCTTCCAAATTCTTCTTTCTAACTAAACTTCCAATATTCACAAAAAATTAATATATACAGTTATCAGCGTCATAATCAATTCTGTCACCGTTTGCTTTGTGAATGGAATAAATACCCAAATATGGCCATTTCTCATAACCATCGATGGTTCAGTGGTAGAATGCTCGCCTGCCACGCTGGCGGCCCGGGTTCGATTCCCGGCCGAAGCATTCTTTTTTTACAATTTTCAAAGCTCATTTATATATTATACAAGAATGACATCCACGGCGCTAATTTATAATTGTAACGAATAGTATTTGAATAAAAGCATTTAATCGGGTAAAACCCGGGCGTTGCCCGGTCATTCGGCTAGTGATATATAAACAGTAATATAATATGAATATTTTGATATAAATTTTAAAACTTAGTTTACCAAAATATTTTTTGAAATATATTCTATTTATATATAGCAAAAAAGAAAGAAAATCAGGAATTATTAATATACTAAAATTAATATTAGAAATCTTTGAAAATATTCGATTGAAATCTGTCTATTCATGAGATAGAGCAAATTCCTTTACTTCATCAGAGTTCAACCATGTCATGTAAAAAGATAGAAATATATATCATAGCGCTTAATAAAAAAAAATGTATTGAATAAAATGATCTTTGAATACTTTTAAATTAGTTTAGGAAAAAGAAATCAATATTCTGCAAGTTTAATTAAAGTTCTTTTTTTAAAATCCTCTCTACACATAAGGTCTGTTTATTAGTTGAAGGGAGAATTAGAAAAACACACACACAGGTAATATGAAGTTTTTGTGGGGTAAATTAAATGTTTTGTTAGTTTTTAAATAAACTTTAATTAATCTTTAATATCTACCATTAATTACTAGTAGTTTATTTTGATTTATTACCTATTCTAGAATATTTTTCCTTTTTTTATCATCAATATAATTGCTCTGTATACGAAAAAAAAAATGAGTGTGGCAATTATTCCTATTATTTTTTTGTGAAAAATACATTTAGAGAAAAACATATTTTTGTATAAAAAAATAAGAATATAACTAATTTCCTTATATTTTTTCAAATATAATGATGCTTATTAGAATCTGTTTAATTAACGTATAAATATCGCAAAACTCTGAATATATTTGAAATATATTTTCTATTACTCTAATTACCTATAGTCCCATTTTCTATTTAGGAATAAGCAACTCGAATATACTTGCATTAAATGATTTCTGATTATTTTTGCTTACTCAACCATATATGATTTGGTTGTGCTTATTCCAAAGATGTAAAACATATATAAATGAAGCAAGAAAATGATTATTCTTTGAGTGTGAAAGCTTGTAAAAAATAGGAACTTACCCTCTATTATTAATTGGTTTATTTTTGTCGTCTGTTTTGCACAAGTTGAATCTGGTTAGAACGATGTATGTAAATTAGATGATTCTTTTGTTGCCTTAAATACGAGGTAATTAACTCGTTTCTCTCTCTCTATATCTAAATATGTTTAATGTGAGTTAAATCTGAGAGTTGTCTTCAAAAACGATCCAACAAGAAATTAAGAAGAAACTTTTATGTTTGTGAAAAATTAGTACAAATGTGATATTTTACTGGGATAAGGTGCATAAATTATGAAAATGCAATCTCCTTATCGTGCAACTGAATCTTGGTACAAGCCATCAGCAACTTTCAGTTGCACGATAAGGAGATGCCTTTTTCATAATTTTATGTTTGTGTTTGTTTGTTTCCCATACGTTTAAACAATATTTCTTTCTATACACTTATAAATCTGTAGTTCCCTATTAAGTAATGCTAATATAAATTATAGTGTCCCTTCTTAATATTGTAGCAAGGTATTTATAATTTTATTAACAGAGTATTATTTTTATTACTTATATTTTGCTATTCTCACAACTTCCTTTATTACTTTTCTTAATTTATCATTCATAGTTTGTATTTGCCTTAAATAAATTGCCGTGTCATTCCGAAGTTTGTCTCTCATAATTTTGCACGTGACAATATGCACATTAGTCTGCTTACATTCCAATTTGCATTTGCATTATTAAATATATAAAGATAAACAGAAGCATATAGGTTAATAAAAGTATATAGAAAATAAAAAGAAAGAGAAAAAGATTGGTAATAATGAAAAATGCAATGTTATTTTTAGTTAAATTGTTAATAGTTTTCTAAATCCATTTATGTTGTTATAACAATGCGCGTTCTTAAGTAAATTCATTATTGTATAAATAGTCTATATTTCATCTCTCATTTATTTTGTATACTTATGTAGATATCTCTGGAATAATTGAGAATCTACAATTAGATTTTTATTCCGACAAATGGCGCAAGTCTTCAGTAACTTTTAGTTGTACGAGAGAGAGAGATTGAAACTTCTTTATTACATCGCTCATATATCATAATGAGGCTAAATACATATATATGATAAAATATATGAATGAATAAATGTAAATATATACAAGGTCTTTATTGGTGTCGCCAACCGCGGGAACGACTCCGCCACCGGTGGACTGCGAGAGTTCTTTCCCACAGAGTGGGCAGGTCTAGATGTTGGCTGGCGTTACCCACCTCAAGACCAAGATGGTACTTGTAGATGGTAGCCTTCGCCACACTTGTGATCTTCATTCCCTCGGGATGGAGGCCGACGCCGAAGAGCCAGGCCTGCAGAATCAGAGGCACGAATATGACAATAGCACATGTAGGGAAGAAGTTCGATATACATCTATTCGACTTCAGGGCGTGACATCATACCAGACGACCATCAGTGGGATTCCTCTGATGAAAATATTATTTAATTTCACTTTTTTCCATAATAATCCTATATAATATTATATAAAACGACATTTGAAAATTATATCGCATGTGTTTCTTTTCAACGAAAAATCGAAATTTATTTTAAGGAGAAATAACGGAAAAAAATATGTTCAGGGTAGCCTAGTGGACATGGCATCTGCCCGGACAAGGATTCCCATCCCTGGACACTTCTATTTTTCCGTTTATCATTACTCTTTACAATTCATCCTTTCATACCTCATCCATAAGGTTAGAAATAATCGTTATTTCTCCTTTAAAATAAATTTATATTTTTCGTTGAAAAGAAATACATGCGGGATAATTTTCAAATGTCGTTTTACAATTACAAGCCGCATTGTATTGTATTATAATCTTATATGCACGATTAATAAAAGCATATTCAATCTCAGAGAGAGAGAGAGACCAGAAGATCTTTGAAAAGTTCAATAACGCTCTAAGTGAAGATTTCCTTTCATTTAGAGCTGTTGACAATGGTGACCTGGAATTGAACGTGGAAAAACAAATTGTGAATACGAGTCCTACTCTATAAACATGATTGAAGATCTTAACGAATACCTTATGGCGGTCGGTGGAAGGATGGTCTAAACAGTTGGTTTTCGACCGCTACGACCCGGTTCGATTCCCGCATTGGGCACTTTTTTTCTGATTTGAAAAAAAAATGCTCCAATGTCCCCCGATTCTTACAAAAGTCCAACCCCACCAGTGAGTGCAAGTAACCAAACGGGGCTCTGACACATTTGTAAGTGCAAAGTCGAACTGTTTTCACATGGGTAGACATGTGGTGCACTTACAGTAAAAGTAGTCGTCTACTTATACCCACCATGACTATCATGGCCTGTACCACGTGTACTAGGGATAAGCAATAAAAAAAAAACGAATACCTTATCAACAAAATCCACCAAATGGCCAAGAAAAAAATCTATTTGAAACTAAAATTGATATATAGGTACTTCGACATATCATATGAACAGACCTTTTAACATTATAAATTGTATAATCTTATTTTCAAGACATTCACACATATAACACAAACATAAGTTACCTTATGATTACAACAATGACATTACACAAGGTCGTTGGAAACTCGTCGATTTATAGTAATTGGGGAGAAAACCTCGATATATATGGCAATAATAGCCATTTCCTAACTTAAAAAAAAAACACAATCACAAGGGCAACATTTGACACCTTAATTAATAATCTAAAAGATAGGAATTGTTTTTGGCCGGAATTCATAGTTCATGTCAGGATATGCCTTTTTATTTTAATATCAACATCTGACCTTTTATTTATTTATTTTCTATCATTTTTTAATGTGTTAAGCGCATTTACGCAAGTTTGGCCTTAAATACTCATTTCTTAGTTTCTAAAGAAGCCTCTGGAACCAACATTATTTTTGTTCGCAGTGGTACAGCCTACTCCACGCTGGCGAGCGCCAACAGCGCGAAACGCGTTCGTGAATGGCTTTTATTGATTTATCAAGAAATTGGGTTGGCCAAATATCACGGAACAGGCTGAATCAATGTTTAGTTGATTTCTGTTCCATTAGATGGCGTTCTGCCTTCTGTAAATCACGTGCTCCTAGTCAGGATTTGCCTTTTTTATTTTTTAATAGTTCATTAAATAAAAAGTTTTATTTTATTGATAACAAAACTTTGATATATTTTACACGTGGAAGGGAATCTTGTCCGAAAAACTTGTACAACCGTTTATAAATGAAAGAGACTATTATTCCTAACTTGTAATTTCTCTTCTATTGAATAGGTAGAATACAATCGTATTAATAAAATATTGTAAGAAAGTCGGATTACATATAATATTTTCATCGCAATAAAGTCAGTAGGAACAATGCTTTATTTGAAAACTTCGTTGCTCTTAATAGTTTTATCTCATATGTATAGATTGTACGTTATTGCCTTATGTTTTATTCTGTATATATTGATTTTATTTAGAACTCTTATTTTTGTTCCCTCATGAACTCTCGTTCTCAAAACACACTAACAACGCACAATAGTTATTTGAAATATTATTCATAATAACTTCTCTCAACAGGATTCATTATTAACCATGTTGACATTGATCATTTATATAAACATCAATTACATATGTGTTATATTTTTTAAACATAAGATAGGTAATATATGTAAAATGTATTTATATTTCAATATATACATTTAAATATACAATTTATTGAACAACCTTTATATCAAAATTATATCATATTTATGAATATTTGAAACTATTTTAGACGCGTATGATTCTTTTAAAAATTAAACAAATTCTACTGCCCTTACTGCAATGGAAAAATTAAAGATGACGCGCTGATGCATCATAATATATCATATTTATGTTTAAAGTTAATTTTTATTCCTATTCTTGGGTA